TTGGTGCTTGCGTGATTAGCGCGCGAAAAGCCAAACAACTTGACGCCACAACCATGTTTACATACTCTCATGCAAACACTGCTCTCGGCCAATCAGAGCGCGCGTACTATCTTAGTTATTTTATAATAGTGAATTTTTAAGAGACTCTGTTACGAGGATATTGCTTCTTAGGTCAAAAGACCTTCTGGATCAATTTAGCTGTTTCTGGGAAACTGCCCACCTACCCCTCCCTAAGCCAACATCATCACTTACTTCTCACTTAGGGCAAAATGGTGGCTTAGGGGAGGGGTAGGTGAGCAGTTTCCCGGAAACCTAAACTGATCCGACCTTTTTACGGTTTTTTCAACTTTTTATATGGACCAGTACGGGAAAATCCGATATCACTAGAAAAAGCGCCTTAAAATTAGTAAATTTGCTAAATTTGAAAGTGATACGTCTTTAGCGAGCGAAGATGAGCCCCGTAAAGTTGAGAAAAGTTACTGATGTCTATAACATTTCGCCACTTTTGAGGTGTATCTTAGTTTTTAACAAATCACTTTCAAACTTGGCAATTTTACTAAATGTTGAGGCTCTCTTTTCAGTGGTGTCGACGGATTGTCCCGAACGTGTCCATGTCAAAAGTTGAAAAAAATCCGTGAAAAGGTCTATTCTGTGCTTAAACCATTACTTAGAGTACCTGTACCTATCAAGAGATATAACTCGAACCCTTGTTAACTCGAAACTCGCGCTAACTCGAACCAAAATCATGATTTCCCCTGGATTTTCGTCATACATTTACTGTAATTTTACCCTCGGTAACTCGAACCTCCCGCTAACTCGAAGTAATTATTGTTGTGTCCCCTCAGATCATTTCGGCCATATAATTTTACCCTCGATAACTCGAACCATGTTTTGAGCCCTTAAAACCTTAAAAAGTCGGGAAAAAAAAAGTGTACTGGCGTAACAGCCTGTATCGGCGTAAGATAAATGTTATCGAAGTGGAAGTATTTTAAAGGGGCTATGTAAAAAAAAGGCATCGATTAAATTCCAATAATGATAACATTCAGTTTTGTAATTTAAGACTACAGTCGACTCCCGATAACTCGATCATTCCTTTAGTAACTGACGCCGGACAGAAACGATCGAGTGATTTAACTAAGAGAGTATACATAAATTCCTATTTATAAATATTTATTTTTCTTGTAATATATTTTGCTGGTCCCTACAAATATTGTAAATGCAATCCTTGTTTTAATTTGTAGAAACACGAGCTTCAGTAGCTTTCAGTCTTTCAATTCTAACTGCCTGCTCCCTGAATTCGCGGAAAATGCCTCTTAGAACCGAACTCCAAACTTCACATAAACCTCTGTAGGACTTCGAATGATGCCTCTATGCTAATAACTCCATAAAGTTTGACTGAACTCCACTTAAACCCATTTGCTTCTTTCTTAAAATAAAGTCCAAAACAGAAGAGATCTCTTTGACCAACCTACCCATATTATCCAATAAAATCCCTCAAAAATACTTTGATCTTGTTTTTTTCTTTACATGGATTTCATTAAAGAAATTAAAGTGCTGAACGAAGCTTCAGCTCTTTCTGCAACCCCCACTACCATAGTCACAAATATAACCTTGAGGGCAGCAATGAACTCCATTACTGCAGCAGATCGCATTTGGAACAGGACAACAGCCAAAGCCCCCTGAATCACTGAGGCAGCATGTCTGACCATCCATGCAATACATTTCGCCGTCTCCACAGTTCACATTTCTCTTGCTCATTGCCTTTATTCCCCCATGAAGCGATCTTAACTGATTTCCATCGTTCGTTGTCTTATCCTCTCTATTCTCAATTACATTGAAAGGTACAGTAAGGTCCGAGTTTAGGTCCAGTTTTTCGCAATAGCATCTCAGAGATAAAAATAGCACAGCGAATGCAACCGCGGAGCAATTCATCTGCAAATTGAAGTTAGTCAGTTTAAAATGCTATATAAGGTTATGTATTTTGCTGATTCAGTGAAGGTTGATTTGGACATTGCGGGGAATTGCGAAATGGAAAGCATGCAAAGCATGGCGGTTTTGGTCGGGCGCGCAAACAACCCAAGGAGGGCGAGGGCAGAGAAAGAAACTGCGAGGAGATTAGGTGGGGGGTGGGGGGGGGGGGGGGG